TTAGCCAGTGAGAGAAGTTACAACTATGATTGACACTTAGGAAAGATGTATAGCTACCAAGACAGAAAGGAAGGGGGGAAAAGTATAATAACTAATTTTGTAAGAAAAGAATATCGAAGCCTCTCACACCCCCTCCCCACAACCCCACTATTTTAAAATTCTTCTCTAGGGCAGAATTCATAGCACTAAAAAATAATAGAGTAATCATGCTTAGTCCAGCTCTGAAAGGCAATACCTTGCCTTAAAAGGTAGCAGCCAAGATAAGAATTTATACTCTTTCTACCTTCATTGTCTTACATGGGGAAAAATAAGACCTTTTCTTTCAAATTTTCCCTGTCGAAATGAATCCAGATATTATTGCAAGTTAGGGAAGATGCTGTGACTGAGGAAGACAGCCCTGCCCTGCAATCTACCATTAATATTGTTGATAAGAAAGGATGACATTAATACGGATTTGGGTGCCTGGGCTCAGATCTGATAGCACCCCTAGATTCAGTGGGGAAGAGGAAGGGGGGAAAGTTGGATAGTACTTGAGATGAATACGACCAGTTAATTCACTCTATCTAAAATATGGGTCTCTTTTGTTAGGAAACGAAAGGGATCCAAGGATAGAAGTGGAAAAATATTAAGAAGCAAGTTGTGTGTGCACAGGTGTGTGAACACAAAAGGTGAAAAAATATCCTTTTATGGGAGAGCTTCTATGAGTTCAGAGGCACATTTCTAAAACTGGGAAAAAACATATCCCCCAAATCAGAACTGGTCCTCAAGGTGTTAATCATCATGTGGTTTTCTCAAACTTATCTGGAATTAGCACCTGCAGTTCAAGAGACACATTATCTCTTACTGTATTTATTGGCTCCAATTGTGACTCAGCTTTCCATGTGCTGACTTAAGAGCTTTAGTGTTCTTTAACGCATGAGCCTGGGAAATTCATGCTTGCTTTATTTCTGGATTCTAGGTGAACACTTGAATCCTTTTGTATTTGGGTGTGACACTGTTGCTGTTGGAACTTTGTCTTTCACGGATCAGAAGCAATATTAACATTTGTGGATGACAGGAACAATTTAGACTTATGAAGTACACACACACACACACACACACACACACACGCTTTGTGTTGTTGGCTCATTAAAGCAGCCACATTTTTTTTCCAGGCTCATGTGGAAGCCAGAAGAAAGATGTTGCGTTGAAGAAGTGCTGAATTTGTATGTCAAATGTACACTACTATTCATTCTGAACGATCTCTTCCCAATTATATTAGAAGTGTACATAGCTTGCACATGCAGGCACACACATGTGCTAGCTGCCTTATTGGAACAGTATGTGGGAGGGAGAGCATCCATGGTCGTAGAACTAGATTCAATGAGAAGAATGTGACATCCTTGCCGAGGTGGTTTTCCTTCTGGTTTTTGATACAATACCTCCAGTTAGCCTCTGAAAGATTCCCCGCATGTCTTCTCCTTCCCATACCATGATTGGCCACAAGGAAGAACAGATGTGAACCTCTTTCAACCTACTAATTCAATCACATTTTCTTTTGAGGAAAGCATAGCTTATGGGCCTATAAATGTAGTAATTTGAGTGTTGGTTTCACAATTAGTGCTGTGGAAGCACGCTTACTGTACTTTTATTTGAATGGTGGGACCGCTGTGGAAGAATTTACTCTTTATTTACTCTTTATTTTTATTTAAAGTGGTAGTTCTCTGCAAGACTAAATTGTGTGTGTGTTTTCTAGCAGGATTCTACTGTGCATAGCAGTAATAGGATAACATCTGTAGTATCAACAGAATCTTCTATCCTTCCTCAAAATAATAATAATAATAATAATAATAATAATAATATATTAAATCTATATGCTGCCCGACTCCCAGCAACTCTGGGTACTTTACAAATTGTTTAAAACATTAAAAAAAAAAAAGAAAAACAACAAGAGACAAAAATAAGGAGTAAAGATGGCAAGGATGTCAAAACTGGATGGGAACAAAGAAAAACAACCCCCACAATCTAAAGGGGGCTTCAGTCACCCTCGCCAAAGGCCTGAGTAACGAGCCAGGTCTTCAAGGCCTTTCGAAACACCAGTAGGGTAGGGGTGGTTTGGATCCTGGGGGTAGGGTTACCAGACATCCTTCCTTTTGTCTTCATGTCCTCTGTCTGATAGGCATAGCCTTGTCCAGCTTTTTGAGTATCCCTTCCAAGACCTTAATCAGTTACACACTGAAGGCTTTTGCCTCCTGACTGATTCCAGCTCATTCCTGCCATTGAAAAACCAGTTTTTCTGATGCTGGACAAGTAATTTCATATACATGTGGGCCTAAGTACCTTTTTTTTTTTTTTTTGCAGTTTTTCACTGTAATTTTTGTCACGGATGCCAAAAAAGTTAAACCGTGTGTCCTGCTTTCCCCCATTTGTCCTCCTTTCCAATTGTCCATGTCCTCCTCTGCCTGTTCAGGTATCTGGTAACTCTATGTAAAATAAATCATCAGTATAGCAAAGGCAAAAGAGTAATGAGGTTTACCACGAGAGGGGGAAAACACTGTCTGGGCTTCTGATTTTCATAAGGACTTGTATGCACGAATATGCACCTGCTCCACAATCCCCCTGTACCCATCAAAATCAATGTGATCGAAGAAGTGGCATCTGCACGGGGGGTCAAAATCTGCAAGATGGATGGCACAGCCTTGCAATCCAATCTGCACCCTTTTGGCTGTTCATGTGATGTTAATGCAGGTACAAAAGGGGTGATTGTGATGCTGCACCCACCGCCTTGCAGATTGTGACACTCCTGCAGACCCAGCTAGATTTCAGGATACGAAGCTGTGTGGCTGCCCTGAGACCAAAAACAAATACAAGCGGTCTTCCTCCTCCATCGCTGGGATAAAAAAATGCCTCTTCTACAATGTTTAAATTGATTTTCAGTCTGATGCAGGGGCTGGCTGCGGAGCAACAGTTGCTAGTTGTCTTGTGAAATGAATTGTGCTGGGAGAAGGCTGGGTGAATGCCATCCTTTTTCTTCTTTTTGGCTTTTTAGTAGCTTTCAGTAACTTTGGTTGTGGTCTTCCTCAGGAAAGCCTGGGTGAAATGGGATGGGGAGGCCCCATCCAGCAGTTGCCCAACTTGGATGGCCAATTCTGATAGATTATTATTCTCCCGGGGTTACAGGCATCATTTTCAGCATCTAACCAAAACTGTTGGGAGAGGTTACTCAGAGGTGTGGGCTAAGCTCTCCCTCTACCTAACCCAGGTGAGCCAACTGCTACTTTGAACTCCGGTAGGGTCATAGGCTGGACAAGGACCTATAAACTGAGACTCAGGACTTATCTGTACTGCCCAATTGCCCCTTATTGGAATGAGCCAGCAGATACTTTTGGAGGATAGGAATGGATGATGTCTCTCTGTACTCACCCCGCTCCCATCTCAAATGCAACCTCAGGACCCCCCCGTTTTTTTTTGCTTTGTATTTGCCGCCTTATGTCACACAAAGCGCTCCTGTTGTTTTGCGTTGGCGTGCCTTATTTTGTTACAGACTAAACCCAGCCATTAATTGGCTACTGAGCCAATGGCTATCATAGTCTCTTATGTTTTTTAGAGCAATTTTTACCTGTGACGCTGTAAGATTTGCCTTGTAAGTAAGAGGTGGTTGTCAGTAGATTTTTTTAAATTACTATTTTTCTTCCCTGAGCTGGCTACCCTTCCCTGTGCTTTTTTAAAAATAACTCCACTGGTACACTATTCCACTGTTTTTCTAGTAGCACCTAGCCAACCTTGGCTGACTTCCAAAAGCTAAGCAGTCCCCCACCATTTCGTATTAAGATGAGATACCAAAAAATACCAAAGCTTGGTGAGACTGGAAGTTGAAAAACATCACAGAAGAAAGCAATGGCAGGTCACTTCTGTCTTGTTGCTTAGAAAACTAGAAGGGTGTGTCCCTTAAAATACCAGGAGTCATGTTTGACTCAGAGAAGACTTTGCCTCATTATACTCTTAAGTTCAGTGTTATCATGTGCCAGATCTTTTGGTAATTCAGTGCAGGTAAAGGGGATACTTCCAGGGGCAACTGCCCTTGATATTAAAATGATTGGATTTGTGTTTGTATGTGTGTGCATGGGTGTGTGGGTGCCTTAGATGGTGTGCTGCATGTTAGAATTACTGTGCCCAAATCTGGTCTTGGATATTAATGTTCAAGTGTATAGAAGTGGGTACTGTACCTTGTACACTCAGAAAGTAGGTTTAAATGGAAATAGATTTTAAAACAGAAACAACTGATTGATGATGATGATGATGATGATGATGATGACGATGATGACGATGATGATGATGACATTTATTGATTATTTGGCCATTTTAATCAGAAGTTTTTTTAAAAGAAAAAGTAGGGGGAAAAAAAGGAAAAAGCCACACGGATCACACACACACACATCCACACACATCAAGTAAATGATAACAGCCTGGTAT